TCCCCTTTCCCCTCACAAACTCTTATATGTAATTTTGTGTAACAATGAGGGTCTCCTTCCATTTCCATAGTTTCCCTTCTCTCTCCCTTTCTCTCCCGCCACTCCTCTCTGTTTAATGTTAATCTTTTCCTCATGCTCTTCTTCCCTGTTCTGATCTTAGTTGCTCTCTTTATATCAAAGAAGACATTTGGCATTTGTTTTTTAAGGATTAGCTAGCTTCACTTAGCATAATCTGCTCTAATGCCATCCATTTCCCTGCAAAATCCATGATTTTGTCATTTTTTAGTGCTGCATAATACTCCATTGTGTATAAATGCCACAGTTTTTTAATCCATTCATCTATTGAAGGGCATCCAGGTTGATTCCAAAGTCTAGCTATTGTGAATTGTGCTGCTATGATCATTGATGTGGCAGTATCCCTATAGTATGCTCTTTTAAGGTCCTCAGGGAATAGACCCAGAAGGGCGATAGCTGGGTCAAATGGTGGTTCCATTCCCAGCTTTCCTAGGAATCTCCATACTGCTTTCCATATTGGCCGCACCAATTTGCAGTTCCACCAGCAATGTACAAGTGTACCCTTTTCCCCACATCCTCGCCAGCACTTATTGTTGCTTGACTTCATAATGGCTGCCAATCTTACTGGAGTGAGATGGTATCTTAGGGTGGTTTTGATTTGCATTTCTCTGACTGTTAGAGATGGTGAGCATTTTTTCATGTACTTATTGATTGATTGTATGTCCTCCTCTGAGAAGTGTCTGTTCAGGTCCTTGGCCCATTTGTTGATAGGGTTGTTTGTTATCTTATTGTTTAATTTTTTGAGTTCTTTGTATATTCTGGATATTAGGGCTCTATCTGAAGTGTGAGGAGTAAAAATTTGTTCCCAGGATGTAGGTTCCCTATTTACCTCTCTTATTGTTTCTCTTGCTGAGAAAAAACCTTTTAGTTTAAGTAAGTCCCATTTGTTTATTCTTGTATTTAACTCTTGGGCTATGGGCGTCCTATTAAGGAATTTGGAGCTCTACCCCACAATGTGTAGATCGGAGCCAACTTTTTCTTCTATCAGGTGCAGAGTCTCTGATTTGATATCTAGCTCCTTGATCCATTTTGAATTAACTTCAAACCTGATTTAAACTATTTTAGGACTCCGTTTCTTCTCATGCGAAATGGGGATGAAAATGGAACTTTCTTCATGATGTTTTTGTGAGTAATTTAATAAATTTAATGAAAAAAAATAAAATGCTCTGTCTGGCACACAGTAGCATTCAAAGTGTGCAAGCTGTTATCATCATTAGAATTTAAGAAATCTTAATATGTCATCTGCTTCTCATAGTAAAGAGGGGAAAATTCTATAAAGAGGTATAGGAATAATTGTTGATTTGGTAAAAAAATACATAGTTTCTATTATACACTCTCACAGAATTATAGTTCCTGCTTATATCTATTAAATGGAATAAGAGTACCATACGAGGACTTAACTAAGACATGTTTTTTCTAATTGATGATCTCTTTCAAATCAGTTAATTTAAGTAATTCATTCCCATACTACTGTCTTGATATCTTCTGAAGATCTAATATCTACTAATGAAAATGACAGATACTCTCAACTGGGCTTTTGCTAATGGTCAACTTCTTTAGATCTTCTGAGTTTTAATTGCTGTGAGATTACACTCTCATTACAGCATCTTGACACTTAGTATGTACTATTTCAAAGTATAACACTTCATTCAGTCTAATTCATTTGATACCATTATTATCCATTCAAGACTTCTATAGAGAGTTGTACGGATATGTGTCTTATTTCTCTCATCAACAAATGAAGATTTCATCACAGAATATTGGACGTTTCCTTTTTTCTTTTTTGATACTGGGGATTTTACCAGTGGCACTCTACCTCTGAGCTACATCCCCAACACTTTTTCAAATTTCATTTTGAGGTAGGGTCTTCCAGGCTAGCCTTCACTTGAGATCCTCCTGCTTTAGTCTCCTGAATGGCTAAAATTACAGGCATGAACCATATGCCAGTCTATTGGGAAGTTCTAAAAAACAAAAAGTCTTTTCAAAAAGGCTGGCAAACAGGCACATACAAACCTAAGTTCAGAATGAAAGACACAATTGAGAGACATATTAAAACTCACAGTTCTTCTAAAATGTGACCCTCATGAGTGGTATTTCACACATAGTAGGTCCACAATAACAAACTACTAATAGAACCAATATGGTAAGGGAGAGACACATATTTCTAAAAGAAGTACCAAATCAAAAGGCTAAAGAAGTGGTAGCTGGAAGATATTAAAAAAAAGACTAATAAAAATTAATGCACATAAAGATTCGAAAAAAGTGAATTGGGGGCTGATAATTATTGATAGGGAGACAGAAAGAACACTGAGACATTTTGAGCAAATGTGTGGTATGAAACTTCACACACAAGAAGAGCCTTAAGACCCTCAGTCAATCTGAAAGGGATTCTTTAATATTAATAAATTCACAAATGTAGTAATTAAAAGGAGGAAGCAATTCTTATTTTAAGAAACATAAAAGAGCTCATCAGAGAGGAAGGCAGGGGATTTATTTTCCCACAATTTCTTTTGTACTGCTTGAACTTTTACCATGCATGAGAATTTATTTTCCTTTTATTTTTCACTTTCCTTTCCTTTCTTATCTTACTTTCTTTTTAGTTATTTTTAAAACTAAAAATCAGATTAGCTAGCTGCTAATAAAAACAGATTTAAAAAAAAAACATAAAAAGATTTTCTGGCTATTGCCGTTCTAGTTAACTGATTTCCTTAAACACATACATTTCCTTTGATAAACTTAGAAAATAATAAATTGGGTGAAGTCTGTCATAAATGTTCCAAAACTGAATTCAAATTAGTTTCTTTCACAAAAGAACTGACATGATAGGTTAGGAAAAAAAATAATAACATTGGTGCCTTACTGCAAGAGTTTGAGCCAACTTCTTAGGAATTTGGTGAGTGAAAAGTTAGACCAATTATAAGATTGTGGATTCCCAAATCTGTGCTTAAAATAAATAGGAGGACTTGAAGAAATCATGGAAAGCTATTATATTTACAGTTATAGTTTATAACAGAGCAAGATACAGACTGAAATTGGCCAAAGGGGTAAGGGAAGAATCTAGGGAAGTACCAATATCGAGCTTCCATTGTCTTCTTGCCATCCTATGAGGCCATGTCACTTTCATGGCATTGACGTGTGACAATACACACAGATAATTGACCCTAAGGGTACTTCTCCCAAACTTTAATATTCTCTGTTTTTATTGGAGCTCAATTACATAGTAGGATTGCTTGATTTTTCATATGGTGGATCCAGTCTGCAGGCTAATCGATATTATGCATCTCAAAGCTCCCAGCCTAAGTCATTTGTCCTCAAATCACAGTTACAATAAAAAATAAAATTAAACACAAAATATAAAACTACTTCATGATGCCTTAATTGCACTACAAATAAAATTTAGTAGTAGCTTTCTTTCTACAGGCTTTCATTAAAAAAAAAAAAAAAAAAAAAAAAAAAAACCTCAAAGAAATTTACCACCAAAAAAAGAAGAATGATAAAGGTATAATATAGTACAAACATATTTTAAAATGCAGAAATTATTTTAAATCAATTATCTATGGTACCTTGCCAGTCTTACAATGGAGTGTTAATGTTTAATGTTAATTAATAAATAAAAATTGTTAATAAAATGTATTATGACATGATATAAAATAAGAAAAATTATTTTTATATCTAGTACAGTACACTTAAGGTCCAAAGAAAAACTAATGTAAATGTTTAGGACATAACAAATTTGGCATAGACACAATTTGAATATCTGTCCCCTCCAAAAAGAATGTTGAAATTTAATTGCCACTATAACAGTACTAAGAGGTGAGGCCCTTAAGAGGTAATTAAGCCATATGGTGAGGCTGGGTGAGACTGAAACTGTTAAAAAAAAAAAAAAAAAGGGGATTTTGACCCCTTCTATATTTCTCTTGCCTTTCTTCCCTTCACCATGAGATGATGCAGCAAGAAGAACTTCATTTGAAGATAGCACATTAATTCTGGCCTTTTTAGTCTCCAGAACTGTGAAGAAATACATTTCTTTCCTTAATAAATTACCCAATCTCAGATACTTAAGCTATATCACACAACTGGGCTAAGATAAGCACCTACCATATCTTCTAAATTTACCAGGAGGCTAACTTTGACTATACACACTCCTTTTTCCTTAAAAATTTAAAGCCACCTTTAGACCTTCAGACTTGTATAGGACATATGAATTTAGCATTACTATGGTTTGAATGTTTGACCCCTCCAAAATCATGTTGAAATTGAATTGCCATTTTAACAGTACTAAGAGGTGAGACCCTGAAGAGGTGATTAATATTCCCAGCAATATCTTCCTTTTTGTTAAGTATGCTAGAAGAGGTTTCTTATGCTGGCAATCAGGGTCCTGACTAAAACAGTTTCTGTATCAGTGCTGGCATATTTGGTTGAGGACCTGTCAATTTGACTAATGCAATTTTTACATGCACTACACAAGAACCTCAATTCTGTAAGAGATCTATCAAGTATATGACAACATGGTCAGTTAATTTTAAATATAGTTGGGGAGACAGAAATCACAAAAGAGAAATGATTACAGAACTATGCATAACTGAACACCAAGGGAAAAAATATTCATTTTTCTGTGCAATAACAGGTCTGGAAAGGAGAGAACAAAATAGAACGTCAGAGACTTTCTTGAAGAACTGCAGGATTGAATATAGAACAAAATCTCAACAAATGGTCCCTGTAGTAAGGAGTGTAAGTTCATAAAAGTCAATAAAGAAACATACCAGTACATTCACTTAAACAAGAGTAATAAAATCCCACAATGAACAGCTTTGGACAGATTTTGATGTGAGAAGAATCAAGATTTTTGCTGATAAAATATACATTAGTAATGGAGTCAGCAGAACTTGAGTTTGTGAAAACAAGTTCCACACAAATAGTCCTACCTCTGCTCATAATCAGACACACCTTGTTCACAAGGCTCCGCCCATTCTTCAGAAACTAGATGCGTTCCAGCAAGATAAGCATAGAAAAGTTACAGTACAGGTCCACAGGAATAGAAGATGGAAGAGAGGACCTACAAGAGAAAAGCGAGAGTGAGAGGCTTGTCAAATATAAGGAAGAAAAAAGAGTTACAAGAAGCACAACAAAGGTTTAGAAAAGTAGTATTTCAAAGATTTCAGAACTGAGATATTTGCCACTGATGTAAAATACCAAGTAAAAAGTAATAACCAATGAAAACAATATTTCTGTGAACAACTACTTCTTGATTTTTTAAAGTAAGCCAGGTCCCTTAATTTTCCAAGTGGTTTTGTTTGTTTGTTTTAAGGTTCTTTTTAGACATACATCTCTCTGACTTCAGAATTTTAGATATGGCTTTGACAGGAGTGAGCCACATACTGAGGCATCAATCTACAGAGGTTAAAAACAGGACGATTCATGTAGGGAGACTAAGAAAGTTTTACTTACCACACTTCCTCTAGAGTTAAGTAATTGAATATAGTTCTAAAAACATGCATTGATAAGTAGGGTGTTGTAGTCAGCTTTTTCACCTCTCTGAACAAAATACCTGACAGGAACAATTAGAGGAGGAAAAATTTATTTGGCGGCTTACAATTTCAGAGGTCTCAGTCCACAGACATTTGGCTTCATTCCTTGGGGCCTAAGGTGAGGTAGAACATCGTTGCAGAAGTATGCGGCAATGGAAAGCAGCTCAGGATGTGATGATCAGGAAGCAGAGAGCTTCTCCACTCATTCACTCACCATGTATAAAATCTACATGCCAAAGGTACACCCCAGTGAACCACCTCCAGCAGCCACACCTTACTTGGCTACAGTTACCATCCAGTTAATCCCTATCAGGGGATTAATGCACACATCAGGTTAATGTTCATAACCCAATCATTTCACCACTTTTTGTGTTGTCTCACACATGAGCTTTTGGGGGGCACCTAATGTCTACACCATTCCATAAGGTGGTTATAATTTATCATTCAAATTGGTGAAGCCAGATTTAAAGTTAGGTAGTCAGTGTAGTTAGATAAATCGGGTCTAATATTGAGTGAAATCTAAAATGGAGACCATTCTGAGAATGACTCAGGGAAAACACAGGACAACTCATGGAAGTCCCGAAAAGGCCCTAGGCCAAAGTCCACCTCAAAGAAATGTTAATGAACAGCCCCCAGCAAAAAGGTGCTGACTCAGAAGTCCTTCCTGACCAGATTACTTCTTTGGCCCACCTGTGTCCCACCCCTCGGTCCTTCCCACCTACATTCCATCACTGAAAGAACTATAAAAAGGGGAGACAACATCCCTTCCACGGATTCCACCTCTTGGGTCCCCTTCTTCCTCCGGGAGAAGTCTTTTCTGCTGTCCTTTAATAAACTTCTAATTTCTACTCTGACCTTGCCTCGGCGTGCTTCTTTGGTGTTATTCTTCAACATTGGGGAAGCAAGGACTCGTCACCGGTCAACAGCGGTATCATTGGGACTCTTTTGAGAGTTATGAGGGGTGTTGCTAATAATTGTGTTTAGACAAGGCACAAACCACACAGATATATAGCTACTTAATTAACAAGCCTCTCAAGAAATGTAGGGGAATAAAAGCCCTTTATCGTATTCCCCCAAGAATAAAAGTAGTTAGAGCAGGTTTTGTTGTTATTTTTTTCTCCTCTTAAGCTGAATATCAGGATACTCTGAGGCCAGTGCTGCCCAGAACAATTGCGAGTGAGAAGAAAAAAAAAAAGAAGAAAGAAAGAAACAAAACAGCTCTTCTCTTGTAGCCAGTGCTCTCATCCAGCCTGATTCCTGCAGCCTGCTCTGTCTAAACAGGTTGAACATATATTTTAAGAGTATGAATCTTGGAGGGACACCAAAAAATTGTTAGTTTGAATTTACAATATCAAAAATATACAGTGACTACTTAGGAGGAGTTCTAGAAACACTAGAGACTCTTTTCTCTAAATTTCCTATCTGCCTAACTGAGCTTTCCTTTTCCTCACAAATATAGCATTTTTCCCCTGAAAACCTTCCTCAGAAAGATTTTATCAGAAGTGTCACACCCTTCTTTCATTAGGATCCCTAAATCCTAAAGCTACAGAAGAAAGCCCCTTATATATGCAGAGCTCTCCCAAGCAAGGAGCCTCCTGGAGATTCTTTATGTTAACAAAAGGCAGCCTTTGATGGCTATCTGGTTCAAACAGTCAGCAAACAGGGAGGGAACAGGACAGATGTAGGGAGTGGGCAGCTGAACCACCCAGTTTGATTCCATTTAGCCCCTGATACCAGGTAATTTCCAAAGCACAACTGGAGTTGTTCATTCTAGATTTAGCCAGAGACAAAGACATTACGTGTGGAAACATGTAATTCACCCCACAGAAAGAGGCCCTAAAGGTCAATTCCACAGCCAAAGAAATTTGTGAAGAGAAGGCAGAAAACCCTCTGGGATCTAAAGCAAGGAAGAGATCACCCTGTGATAAAGAGATTAAGATGTGATGAGATTTGGGATTCTCATCTGTCCCCTGTGAAGAGCAAGGCAAATGAGTTGTAATAGGAGGGTGCTTGACCATTAGGGTGGTGAGCACCTGAACAGTAAGCAAAAAGCCTGCTCCCAAGTGCTCCCAATAGGAAGAAGGCACCTGACAGGGGTGCACCAGGAGCCTTCAATTTCACTAACTAATAGCTATAGAAAATCCAAGTCAGGAATCATAGAGGTCGGGTTGCTGACTTGTGCCCTCCCTCAGTGAAGGCTCTGGGCAATTTTACCATCCAGCTGTTCTGTTTTTCAAAACTAAAGTAATTGGAATTGAACTCCAGAGCTTTGCTAAAACCCTAGCAATTAACAGTGCGGTTTCCCAAATTGCACTGTAATGGGAAAGTGTCCATCAATCAACCCAGTGAAATAACACATTTTCTCACCAGATGTGAGATTTAATATCTTCATAACTCCCTGGATTTACCACTTATGAATTGTCAGCCTTGCCTCAAGCTCTGAGAATTAATGGACTACATCCCTGCTATGCAAGGATGGTTTACAGTTGTAAAATATCCCCACCTTCATTTTAGATATATGTACCAAAATGTTCTTCGAAAGATATAATCAGAAAACATGCTAGATGGAAAAATTTCAATTGTATTTACTATGTTATGTATTATCATTGTCTAGGTAAATATAGTTCCCAGCATCTTAGCATGGAACATTTTTTTTTCAACAGGAATAACCAGTTTATCACTAGCAGTGAACAATAAATTACAGTGTGAAGATGCAACAACTCTAAGTTTTACACTTCAGGATATCCTCTGCAATTTTCTGGACAAAGTATGAAAATATCCTAAGTTTCTAATTCTGTATCTATATACAAGTTTCACTGTTCATCTTGGATTAAGAAAAGAATTCAAAGAATCCCAAATATGTTCATTCTGTCACTACAGTTATCAGGTACATCAGTTCTCATTTTAATGTTCACTCCAATCTCAAACATATGAGCCATAGCCAGTATGAAGTTGCCTCCTGACAACAGCCCAGATAGTTCTCCTGCTGCCAGGACTACAAACTTTGCAGGTTTGGAGCCTGGCTTCCACCCGTGGGGAGGGAATATTGTGTCAGTGAAGATCACTCCACAGGCCTCAGAAGCCCAAGGGTACAAAGAGGAGAGGCCAGAAAAAATTGTAGGAGATTTGGGCATGGAGTTTCTGATGGCATTTAGACAAGGTTCCCCAAAGGACATTATGTCTTAAGATTATCTTCACATCACAAGCGAATGTGTTATCAGACCTTGAGATCATCCAAATTATTATAGTTGGTTATTTCAGAAAAAAAAAATGTCAAAGAACTTCAGCACTATAAGAAAACTTAGAGATCATCTATTTCATTTCCTGATTTCATAATTTCATAAAATATTCAACAAAAACTGTCAATCACACTACTGCTTCATCTGATACAACTCATTTGGCATAGCACATGTTATCTGAAATAGTCTGTCATTCATTCTCAACTGGTACCAATTAATTCTCCATGCCCATTAATATGGCTGTAGGAGATGACACTTTGAGATGAAGGGTAAAAGAGTACATTAGAGGACACAAAGAGATCACCTTGTCTACACAATAAAGAAATTTGATACATCTCTGTCTGATTTGCTATATTAAAGATTAAACTGGCAAAGCAATAATTATGTATTACAAAGAAGTTCAAAGCCCATAACACCAGGCTGATAAAATATAATTGAGAATGGTAAAATCAATTCAAATGATTACTCGAATCCCCAACAACAGAGAAATAAATTACTATTTAATAAGTAGTGTTGGGCCAATCAGTATAGAAAAATTACCTTAGAGTCATTTCTTATACCACATACTATACTGAATTACAGAAGAGTCAGAGTTAAACATTTTATTGAAAACTAGAGGTAAAAAGAGCAGTTCCTCTCCAGCAGTGGCAAAGAGATACATTCCTAATACCAAAGAAGTAGAGTATAGGAGGATTTCATCAGAGGCAAGATGGGAAAGCACAGTTGTGTACAACTAAAACTTCCATGTAACAAAAAGAAAGCAACCTGATACAACAATGTAATAAATATGTCTGAAAAAGATACACATGTATATATGCAAACACATACATTTTTGCCTCCCATTTCTGTAACTTTATGTTCTCTGTCCTGGAGGTCTTCCTTCCAGAGGGAAGAATGCTTCCATGAGAACACACAAAAGTGATCCTGTTGACCTGGAAGGTAGGACTGCACCAGGCCACTTTGGGCTCCTTGCGCCTGGATCAAGAGGCAAAGAAGTGAGTTTTGGTGTTGACAGGGGTGAGGGATCTTGACTACCAAAGGATTACCAATTAGACTACTACTTCACAATGGGGGTCCAGAAGACTGTGTCTGGAATACAGGAGCTTTCTTAGAACAACTCTTAGTATTATTGTGCTCTATGATAACAATGGAAAATTAAAACAACTCAATCAATGCAGAACTAACAATAGCTAAGACCGTTCAGGAATGACGGTTTAGATCACTCTACCAGGGTGCTTGTTGAAGGCAAAAGGAACACAGCATGGGTATTAGAAGATGGTAGTTACAAA